AAAAAACTGTTAAACCGTATAACTCAAGGAAAAAATTTACCAAAGGATTATGTAATCCGAAGATTCTTGAATGGTTTAAGAGGACCGATAGTAAAGCTGGTTGTTGTGATGGATCCGAAGAACCTGAAGAAGCAATTAAATATGCATGACGAGTTGAAGTTAGAGCATATTATGAAAAGCGAGCAGAAGAAAATAAAATAAATCCTCGATCTGTATTAGCTAAGGATACTCCTGTAATTGTCCGAAATAAGACAAGTAATGGTATTACTTGTTTTGTTTGTAAAAAAATAGGACATATATCCCGTGAATGTATATCCAAAAAGAGGACAGTGGAAATTTTGTTGAGTTCCTGTAAAAATTCCAAATGGCTCATTATATGAATGATAATGTTAAGAAAAAGGGTCCAATAATATATTAAGAAAAGGATTATTTTATGGGCAAATATAACGAATAGATTAAAGATTTAACTAGGTTGCTAAAAATTGAACCAGATAATATAACATTGTTAAAATATCAAGGAGAAAATAATTATATGATGAAAAGGTATAATGAGTCAGTCGCTGATTTGAAGAAATTATTAAGAATTAAGCCAAAAGACGTATATATAATAAAAAAAAAAAAGCTTATAAGCTAACTAAGGGATTTTTGAACGATCTCGACTCTGACTCTCTCAATTATCTTTGTGACGATTTCAACTCTTTAAATCAGTACTGTATTGTATAGAATAGGGACCTTGATGATAATATTATTTTGTATTATCTAAGATTAACGTAAATTATGGATGCTGCCTTTAGCTTGCATAATTTCTAAATAATACGTATTAATTGTAGAGAAATAATTCGTGGATATGACTATTCAGCTAAGTTATTAATTTTGGTTGTAAAAAAACAATACCCGTTATATATAAAAATTTACAGTATTCAATTGGGGTGTCAACAATCAGTTTAATCACAAACTTAGTGCAAGACATATAGTAAAAATCACTAATGAAGATTTTTTTGATTGATCTTCGAAAATTTCAAGTTATATTAAATTATTAATAAAAAATGTCTTTGCGCGAGCTTTAATAACTCCTGTTATATTGACTTTTTTTAAATTCTGCAAGTTGATATTTATTCTTTAAGAGTGTCTCTATCATGTAATAACCACATATTTTTAAATATATTAATATTTTATTATTATAATGTACATAGATATTATTTGAAATTTTTATAATACATATTTAATAACTCTATTAATTGATGTTTGAGTGATGAAATGCTTATAACGAATATTACAGTAGTATATAATCAAAATAATAATTAAAAAAAAATTTTTTTTTGTTATTTAAAAATGGGTTGAATTAAAAAACAACATAACCATTTAAAAAACATAAGCCAGAAATGAAACTTTTTTAAAGACACAGCTTTAAATAAAATTCAAAGCAATTATTGTCAATCAATTGAGCAAATAGTCAAAGATCTTATTGACTTAAATGATAGTAAATTTATTGAAATGATTGAACAAATCAAAGGAATATATAATATTAATAAAGAAAGTGAACAACAACAAAATGAATTAATTAATAAAATTCAAAAATTGTCTATAAATCAAGTTTTTAAACCATTTTATTTATTTCAAGTAATGGTGTAATTGCAAGGCAATCAGAAAGAAGAAATTTTTTCTTCCTATCTTCAATTAAAAGCCATGAAATTTCTTAATACTGAATTTTACAAGAAAAATACCTCTATACAGCTATAACAACTAAGATTATAGAGTTTGAAAAGGATTTCTTTTTTAAAAAAGGATAAAATTATTTTAATTGCTCATATCTGATCAATAATTTTCTAATTTGATATTATTGATAAAATGAAATTAATATATGTTTAATAAATACTAGTTGATAAAATATAAAAACAATTAAATATTTAAAAATATGTGGTTATTACATGATAGAGACACTCTTAAAGAATAAATGCCAACTTGCAGAATTTAAAAAAAATTAATATGACAGAAGTTATTAAGGCATTTTTTATTAATAATTTAATATAACTTGAAATCTTCGAAGATCAATCAAAAAAATCTTCAATAGTGATTTTTACTATATGTCTTGCACTAAGTTTGTGATTAGACTTATTGTTGATACCCCAGTATTCGATGCACTTTTATTTGATATAGGAAAGTAGGATAATTATTGGGAATTCGATATTGATTTGGCTTTGATACATGTTAGGGATGTTAAGTGGTGCGTCTGGCGCAGTCCTGGGTCCGAACTAGTTAAGTAATTAGTTCACCCTGTCAAAAAAAGTTAAAAACCGGTCCTACTCAAATGATTTAATGTAGTGTTTTAATTACTACATGGATTTAATCATATTTATTTAAGATCAAAATAAATTAGCCGAACCAGTCCCGAACTAGTTCCTAAAAAGTCCGGTCTGGACTAGGTATGAACCTGTTTCCCATGGACCACTTAACATCCCTATTTGATATACTGTACAGTATAAGCAAGAATATTTTTATAGAATACTGTATATTCCTTCTTAATAATATTATAAATAAATATATATTTTTTTACTTAAAGTTTTTGCTACAATTGTAAAATTTATATAATATTCATTGGCTTTGAGTATTTTATATATCATAGAAAAGAATTATCTTTTTTATTTGCTTTAAAAAATGCAGAAATATGAAAGAAAATAAATTTTAACATTTTGCATTATACAATATTTTTTTAATGATCATTTTCTTTTTATTCATTATACAAAAGCTGCTTGAAGCGAAATTTGTGTCCTACAGTATTACAAATTTAATAAAGCATTTGTAGATGGTGAAGTAATAGTAATTTTCCTATTGATCTTTCTATTGTCGCGGTTTAATATTAAAATTGTCTTCAGTTTTAATAGCATTTTTACTACAGTTTCAAAAAAAAAGTTTATTGTTTTGCTCGAGTGACAAGAGCTGCCCTTAAATTTGTATAGTAAAATTACGTATGGTATTGAACACCAGTGTGATTTATAATTACTGATAATTTTCCGAAGGACACTATAGACAGAGCATGGAGTTCTGTGTTAACAAATTCTAAATTTTGATTGGCTAGTTCAGGTGTAACGTAATAAAAAATCTTTACGATTTTTAATTTTTAGTGTTGTAAGCTATATGATTTTTGGTGGCTGGCTTAGCCAGCCATCAAAAATCGTGGCTAGTGGCTGGCTAATAAGTAATATAAAAATTTTTTTTTAAAAAAAAATACAATACGTACATATATACAATATAATAAAATCAATAAAACATTAAAATATTAATTCAAAAATGATATATAATATTGTAAATTAGAAGTGTTCTTAAGCATCCCATTCAATAAATCGAGGGTAAATATTTAATAATCAGAAATTAAATTAATCAAATAAGCTGCCATTTTGATAAACAAATTAGCAAGCTACAACTTATCTTTTTTCTTTAAAAATTTACTATTGATAAAGGTCATTTAAGTATTTTTTTACATTTTTTACATAATAAACAATAAATTCTTAACAAATTTTTAACAATCTAAAAGAATAACTACTTTATTTAATGCTCAAAACTTTTAAAGCAAATAATCTATACCTTAATATGAAAGCAATAAATACAATCAATTTTTTAACCTTTAATACTTTTAATCAAACTATAATGAATACCACTACAGTATTTCATTTTTAATTCATAATTTTTCAGCAAACTGAAAAATTTTAAACAGATAATAAAGGTCGTGATGCTTAAGCATTACCATGGTTATTATTTAATTAATTGAAATTAGAGTTCCAATCCAGTTAGTGTTAATCCGAATAATTATCAGATATCCAGTTTTGCTATTGATATCCGGATAATTATTCAAATATCTGTGATTATCCAGATATCAATAGTAAAGTAAACGGATATCTGAATAAATCAGATATGGATAAATGGATGATGGATTTATCCAGATTGGAACTCTATTTGAAATTCCATTTCTTTAGCAAATTCGTTGTACTAAAGCATCACGGCGAATTTATGAAACTCGGGTACTTTGATTAACTATGAAGTGCGTCATTTACTATTTGTTTTTTGACATTTCTTATTGTAAAATCATATAGATAACGTCTAACCCATCTTTTTACAGGAAGATGGGTTAGACGTTATCTATATGATTTTACAATAAGAAATGTCAAAAAACAAATAGTAAATGTTGCACTTCATAGTTAGTCAAAGTACCTGAGTTTCATAAATTCGCCGCAATGGTTAAAAACAAGAATCTATCAAAATTTTGATAATAAGACAATAAACTAACAATATAACTAAAGTTGGAATTAATAACTACCGAATTTACAAACAATAACAATAAAAGTAAAACCCATTTGTATCCAAAGAAATTAGCTATTAATTAAAAAAATAACCAAGAAATAAAGAAACAAAAAAACTAAAGCATTAAACTAACCTTATTAATAAAAAGATACTATAAACTCTTTGGATCTTTGGTTATTATTGTTTCTAAATTTTTAACCAATGTTATCCTATTATTCTTGGTCATTGTTATCTTATTGTTTTTGATCATTATTATCTCATTGTTTTTGAATATGATTATCAAGTTCCACTATACTTAGATATCTTAAATTGCCCATTAATTTTATTGTTACTCTCATCCATTCATAAAATTATACTATGAGTATATGATATCTGATACAAAATTCTTAAAACTTACAAAGCGTACACGCATATATATATATGTACATATGCATGTGCGCCTACTTACTGCTATTATTCATGAGTTCTAATTTACATTGTTGGTATCTATACGGTAGCTTCTTTTCGTTCTGAAAATCATTCTATTAAATTAAGAACAAATTAAAACAATAACTTACCATGTGAAAAATTATAATAAAGTACTAATATAAAAAAGATTAAGTTATTAATATATAAAAACAAATATAAGTAGCAAGCCTTAAATAATTCGATACTTTTTATGTTCAAATCGTAATATACAAATTTCTCTAATATTTGATATTCAAATGACAACACAGGATCCAGACCAGTTTAGTTCATTCGATAGTAATGATAACGAAGATATAATTCCACCTAGCGAACGTGAATTTGAAGTAAATGAGTTATCCGCATCAGATATATCAGAAAATTTACATAATTTAGATAATGAATCAAATACAGGTCTACCTGATCAATCTACATCACATAATAGTGGTGTTACAGTTATGGTTGCTAATAGTTTAGATAAATGGATTCAAAAAAGAAAAGTTTTTACCCGTACTAAAAAATCGAGACCCGGAGAAAAAAGTTGGATATGGGACTACTTTAAAAAATATCCACTTGAAAAAAAAATATTGTGTCGTGTTAAAATAACAAATGAAAATGGTATTGAAAAAACTTGTGATCATAATTATGAAATAACAACCGGCACAGGAAATTTAAAATCTCACCTTCGCCAAATTCATAGAATTTTGCCTCCCGAGGAAAATAACAATAAACCAACACAAATAATTTCAAACCAACAATCTTTACATAACTTTTTAAATAACAAAACACCTTTATCATTTTCAAACCAAAATAAAATTACTAACCGTATTTTAGCTTGGATCGTAGATGATTTACAACCGTTTTATCTATTGCAAATAAATGTTTTCGAGATATGATCCTTGAATGTGAACCAAGATTTGAAATTCTTTGTAAAGATCAACTAAAAGAGAAATTAATACAGTCAGTAAACTATGCTGAGCGGCATCTTAAAGATCTATTGCAAACAACAATGAATTCTTTCTGCTTTACGACGGACCTATGGTCTCAAATGCACCAACCTTATATTGCCGTAACTATACATTGGATTAGCCCTGAATTTACCTTATATCAAGCTCTTCTTATGATTCAAAAATTCGATCACCCCATACAGGTTAATGTTTAACTTATCCATATTCATGTTTAAAAATGTTCGAGCATATTTTTGTTTAGTGTAAAGATATAAAAATTAGTAGAATTATTTTTTTTAGTACAGTATAATATATTCAAACCTTATTCTTATCAATAATATTTTTATAGGCGATCGAATTGAGGACTTTTGTTGGCAACTTTTTGATCGATAGGGAATATATGAAAAGCTTTTTGGAGCTTCAACAGATAATGCTTCTTCGATGGTCAAAGCAATGAGACAACTCGGAGTTGAGCACATAGGTTGCACAGCACACACAATTCAGCTCGCATTAGGAGATGGATTTGATGACATAGAAGTTAATAATCTTATCAATAATGCAAAAATGTTAAATAATTATATAAATCAAGATAAATACTGTGAAAAACTTCGTAATATACAAGCTGAATTAAATCCAGAGCATTTAGTCAATCCTCTTTCTAGTGATACTAAAACTCGTTGGAGTTCAACGTATAATCTTCTAAAAAATCTTCTTATTCTCCATGATGCTATCTTACAATTGGCTAATCATTTAAAGCACAGTATTAATTGTCCAGAAAGGCAGGATGGAATAAGACTTTCAGAGCTTTTTTTATCAGAAGAAGAATGGAATTCATTAGACGAATTAGTAAAACTCTTATTTCCCTTTGCACAAGCAACTGGCTATATTGGAGGAAGCCAATACCCTACTTTAGGGATGATGATCCCTACCCTTATTAAACTTTCTCATTATTTACAAGACCTTTATCCAAAAATTACATCGCCAACTATCAAAACTTGCTGCAGTAAAATTAATGAATCAATGCTATCGAGATGGTATGAACCCTCACCTAATAGCTTGGTTGCCGCCTTTTTGGACCCAAGATTCAAAAAAATGAATTATGTAACATTCAGTAAAAAAAGAGAAACAATCACAAATCTTCATACCTCATTTAATTTACAAGAACGATCAACTCCAATTCAAGAAAATCAATCATCAAAAAGTAATACCTCCTCCTTTTTTCCTCATTTTATGATGATGAAAGTTTTTTAGGTGAAAATGAAAATATGTCATTGATTGAAAAGGAAATAGAGCTTTATGATAGTCTACCTCAAATTCCTAAGTATTATATAATGGACGAAGAATATCAAAAAGTTAATCCATTAATCTGGTGGAACGATCATAAAGCAATGTTTCCTCTTCTCTCTCAGCAAGCAAGAAAATACTTAGCTTTTCCAGCTACATCAGTTCCTTCGGAAAGAGTCTTCTCAAGTGCAGGTAATACAATTACTGATAAAAGAAATCAATTGGATCCAGATACAGTTCATGATATTTTATTCCTTAAAGAAAATTCGAAGATCTTTACTGTATACCCGGGTTTAGTGTAAATTTGAATTCACATATATCTTTATAAAGTAAGCAGAAGAATTAGTATGATATAATCATTATATTGATAAAAAATTTGAACGGCATTTAAGATCAGTTAAAATGAAAGATAACTTAGCTTCTATTTTTTTAAAAAAATATCATAAAAAACGAATTATACTGTTTAACAGTGGGATTAGACTTAGTATTAGTTGAATTTTTTTTTCCTTAAAAAACTATACGTAGTATGTATTATATCCGGCGTTTTTATAGAAAGATAAATTTTAAATATACTATATCTTTGGCGAGTTAAATCTTATAAAATTACTTCCGGGTAGTTTAAATCTTTTTTTTTGATAAAACTAGCAAGTTGCTTTATAATATCGTATAGTAGTAATGATCAGCTTGAAATAAATAACGAAATAACGAAAAGTTCGTGCGTATAGTAGATTTTAGTTACCTAAATATGATTGGTTAATTTTTAGCCGCATTAGCCAGCCGATCATGTTATATTGGCTGGCTTAGCCGGCTAAGCCGGCTTAGCCACGGCTGCCTTAGTCGGCTTACAACACTAATTTGGTCCCATTTTCCTAATATGTAAATAAACTACTATTCATGCTGAATAAAGGGTCGCATGTTTACAGTTTGGATCATTTTTATTCGAAAATGATCAATTTTTGAAATTTTCTGTAGTTGTTATTAATAAATTTTTAATAAATTTTTAATTATATATTGATAATATTTTAATATTTTTTAGTGATTAATTCGGAGGTCGGAGTTAACCCAATTTTCTATTTGCGGTAGGTTATCTGTGACGCAAATTTTACAACAAATCTAAATCTATGATTTGCACGACTAAACTAATAAAAAAAACATTGTTTTTCGCGTAAATAACAACAACCACGAAACTTAAAGCCTTCATGTTGAAATCATTAAAAAAGGTTAACGATAACTTAGTATTCTAACCTTTTAAGTTTCGTTTTCTCAAGTTTTGTCTTCGTCTTTCCAGACTTTGTCTATTGTCAGTGGAATTTTAGGTTTTTCCAGATTTCATCTTTCATCTTTCGCAGTGAATAGGTTTCGCTTAGCAACAATAAAGTGTACTAAAAAAAATTATTTCTTGATCCGCGTGACAGGTCATATAACTACGAATTATGATTTAAATCGATTTTTATGATTTAAAAATGATTTACGAATGATTTAAAGCATTTATTTTCATTACACAATATATTATATTTAATTTAAACACCGAACTTTTTGGGAGCAATTTTTTAAAAGCTATTGCTATTGCGATTCAAAAAATATATTTATATCTTCTAAATACATTACGTAATAAAGATTTAAATCAGCTTTAAATTGATTTAAATAAAAAATCAGTGATTTATAGCATTGTGATTTAAATCATGTGCCATCCCTAATTATCCATTAATGAGAATGAAAAATTAAAAATTTACAACAAATCTTGATCCATTTTACTATGACTGTACAGCAAACAATATGTGTTTCGATAAATTCCAGGCATTATTTATTGATACAGTTAAATATAAATATTGTATCATTTAAATTATACAAAGCAAATTACACCACTTGGCGTCTCTTCTGGTAAAAGGTTAAATAAAAATTATATAATGCTTATAATTTTCTTTCCTTAAATTCAAGATTTCAAAATAAACATTTTATTAATTATCACAATGGCGTTGAAATTTTATTTCATTCTTACTATTGTTCTGACCCTTCTTTTAGTAGTTACAATCGACCATGCATTTGTAAACGCTGGTAAATGATAAAATTGTTTTCACATTATCAATATATTACATATAAATAACATGATACGATATTAGGTGATCCGTGCGTAACATGTCCATCACCGCCGAAGAAATGCAACCCGCCATGCGATGACAATCATGGTTGCATTTTAACTGAACGAACATGCTCACAATGCCCAAAACGGACTTGTCAACCAAAGAATAATCCAAGTAAATGATCAAATTACATATTAAAAGTATTCGTTTTATTATTACAACTTGTTTTTTTCTGTTTTAATTATTGTCATATAGCATGTGTTACATGCCCTGTAGCTGACTGCCCAGTATGCAACTCTACCTCTAAATGTTGGATTCAGAAAAATTTCTGCTATACCTGTGGAGGTGCCTATTGCGCCACGTCTCCTCTAAGTAAGTAGTATATTGCATATCTTTCATTATTATCTATTAATTTTAGAACTAATATATAACAAAATGGAAATATCAGATTGCGTTATTTGTCCCCAAATAGTTCCACCGTGCAATCCGAATCCGTGTCCTCCTAATTATAAGTGCTACTTTTTTGGCCAAGATTGTTTCACATGCGGTCAATCTATATGTGTTCCTGAAAGTTTTAATGGAACTAATTAATGGAATCTCAACGATAATGTCAGGTTACAGTCACAAAATCCTATATAATTCTAATTTTAGAATCTGAATATATGCATCTATAAATTAATAATAATAATAGTGTCCTAATTATTTAATATTTTAAATATTGTTCATTAACAGATTTACATTGATGTTGAATATTCATAAACGTGAAATACTTATTTTAAGTGTTGATTAAATATAATAATAATCTTTATAGGTTATTAATTAATGTATGTGTACCTTTGCAGTAGAAAGAATTCAAACTAATACTAGACATCTGACTCAAAAAAACCTTTATTAAAGAGTTAATGCACTTAAGATATATCCGGATTATATAAAAGACATTTGCCATCATATCAGTGTTGGACGATGACTTAAAACGATCTATATGATCTTTATGACTGTCATAGATAATTTGTTCATAACAAAGGTTGATATGACTCTATGACCTCTTAATATATTAATAGTAAGAATTATAGTTAAAATTTTGCATTTAATGTAACCGATATGACCTATAACAAAAAACCATATATTTATATGACAAAGTCATATCAAAAAATATTGACTTAGGTAATTGGCAACACTGCACCATATGGTCATATTGATTATGATACCATTTGACAATATTTTCTGTTATCTTGGGATTTACGATAATAGTCGTAAATCTAAACCTGAACTCAGCCTGGCCTGCAAATCATGAGTTTGGTCTAAAGATATACCTCATGCAAATGACAAATTTATCACACCCACGATTTCACGCACCTCGAACAAGATGGCATCAATCTTGCGCGAGATAAATCATTCAATTAAGCTAATTTTAATGATCAGTAAACAATTATATAAAATATTTTAGTTTATAATTAAAGTTATATTAATAAACTACTGTATATCATAGGTATAAAATTTATTATATATAGGCATATAAACAAAGGTTTTACGTTTTTCGCTATAATTTTAATATTCTAAAAAAATTTATCATAAAATCGTGCAATATTCCCTCGCACGAGGTGTATGAATATATCCCAAGTTTATCTAGCGCCATTAATCACATGCTAACTAATGTTTATTCACATATTTAAAGTGCCCAACGGTAATAATGTACGTACTAGTTATGAAATAAAACCTAAAAATCTAAAGTATGACTTGAATACTGTACAGTAAAAATGGTTTATATTTTTGAAAACATCGTGTTTGATAATACTGTAGAGATCCCATGGTCCACAACTAATATATTATTTAGTGGATCTGTTATATAGGGAATCTTATATATTGCCAGAATAATACAAAATATATATGTATACAGTATAAATTTTATGTTGAAACCTTTTATTGACGAAAGCTAGTTAATGTAAATTTAAATTTAAGGTTTTATTAACATTGATTGATTTATAGCCGTCTATATTATTATTGCTTAGCTTGAATACGCCCAATTAACTATGACTTAGAATTTTAGAAACTTCAATGCAGGGGTTATATTTTGACCTTAGAAAATGTCAAATTTTGTTTGACTTTTGCAACCTTGACGAAATATTTTAACTTTGACAAATTAGTTTCGATTTTTGACATCATAAAAATAGTTTCATTTGTTTGTACGTCAAATTAAAATTTGCGTCAGATCAAAATTCAAGTAGAATTTTATTAGGTAAAGGTAGGTATTAGCTGTATTTTGATCTGACACAAATTTTAATTTGACAACAAATCTTACAAATGATATGTAGTTTGGTAATGTCACCAACAGTAGACCGGGCCTGGCATCCTACCGGTGGAGCCGAACACACAACCCAACAATGGTTATGTACACTCTAACCACTAAACTACAAAGGTGTGCAAAATGGAAATTGATTTTGTAAACTTTTTGAAGATCAAATTTCAATGGTAAATTGCCTAATGAGATTGCGTTGTTTGTCCTAAATTTATTATTTGCATAACTTAAAGGCGTTGACTATCGGTTCGGTTACGACTATAGTCGACGGCTTAGCTGTCGAAATGGTTGAGAATGGATTCCCTTATGTCAAGAAAATCCCGGGCTAAGGATCTACAAAAATTAGGCTCGGAGCCAATAAAA